ATTCCAGTGGCCTGGTTGGTTCCATTTAGCCCCTCCTCAAAAGTCAGCTTTTTGTCCAGTTTTACAAGTTCTAGCTCTGTTTCATAGGTCTAGTCTTTACAGTAGCACTGTCGAAAGTTCAGATTACCTTTTTACTTGGATCTTCCAAGTGGGCTACTATCTTCTTACCTGGTTCTCATGATTTACATAGCCTAAGGACTTATCTTGGATTCACACCACCTGGTACTGGTTTGTGTTCTTTTGTACAACATTGCACGAATGCCTAAACCTTCTAGTCAGGCTGGTATGACATGGATTACAGGTATCCTATCCTAACCAATCACAGAAGACAGTTAGCTATAATACAGAAAGAATTGCAAATTTTCGCCATTACTGGGATTTGAACTCTAGACTTGCTACTTGGAGGTTGACAACCTATCCACTTCACTAGGTCACCACACCCAAATTTATTTCTATTTAATTATGAACATACTGGGATTTATATATAAATTTGCAGATTTTTTATAATTAGGATAGTATTTTTGCAATTTAAATAGAGAAAATTTTATAAAAATATAAAAAAATATAATTAAAATTATATTTTATACAGTTTAATCGAATCACCTAATTGATTATTTTTGCAGATTAACAAACCACCCAAGTCAAAGTACTAAACTATCAGCAATGATGATTATGTCCTTTCAAATACATAATACATATAGTCAGAGGCTCTATTGTTAAGAGATAAAGACTTAAGTAAAATTTTTATATAACTATATATACTTGTAACAAGTAACCTGAATAGTCGATTTATTAACACAATAGAATTTGGTGCAAGAAAATAAAACTGTATTATTTATCTAATTCATCTGCATGTCATAAAATTTTCAGATTAGATTGTAAATAATAATATTGCAATAGATTATATACTTATATAAATTTTAAGATAGATATATTTAAACTATTTCTTATTTTATAGTTTAGTAAACTAATTACAGAAAGCTTGTTCAGTCTTTCTCTTCTTATAACAAGACAATTATAATTGATGATTGTGCTCTTTATAAGTAGTTTATAAATATAGAAAAAATAATTGCAAAAAGGTAATAGTCAGATCCTAGGCCTGCCTTAAAAGGCTATAACTACATCTGAGAAGACTATATATTAAAGGATAGATTATATATTTTTTACAGACCAAATAATCACCTTTATCTAAGTACTAGACTACCTAAAATAATTATAAGCATGTTGAGTCTCACAACATTGTATAGTCAGAGGTCCTATCACTCAATATTAGAGATGAAATTTTTTGCTTGACTAAGTATATCCTTACAAATAACTCTGACAATTGTCTTATCAATATTAAAACAAACTAATGTAAGAAAGTGTAATGTAATATCAATAAAAAATTACTCAAAGGCTTTATATTAATATTATATGGCCATAAAATCATGCTATATTTAGTTGTAAATAATTTAACATTGCAGATATATACATGTTGTAGTTTTATTTTAATACAATCAATTATGCAAGGTTAGTTTTGAGATTAATACATATAAAAATAAAACTTTATTGGTATTAGAATTTAAGGCTGTAAGACTAGTTTGCATAATAAACATAATATTTGGAATAAAAAAAGGACTATCATTATAAAAAACATTAATATATATATATATAAATATGTAAGATAATAAATAAGCTATAAATATTTAATTATTTTAAGGTTATATAGTACAGCCATCTTTTATAAATAATTTTTATCAAATTCACTTAACTTCTAAACTAAAAATACTAAGAAAAAAATAAAATAAATTTAGAATAAAAAATAAATTCACTTTATTGTAACAATAAAATATATAAGCACAAATGCCAGATATATCAATATAAATGCATTGCTTATAAAATATTTATTGTTTGCGAAGTATGATTTTCTGTATCTAATATATGCAAATTGAATAACAATGTTCTAATTTCATATAAGTTTTATCAGTATTGAAATCATAATAATAACCTTCATTATCATCATCAGAAAAACCACAGAACACTAGATTGACTTTATTATGTTATAATATACAGCACAGAAATAGATTAGGATATTATTACCTTATCTATAATTTTACAAAACTTTCCATTAGTATCCCAAAATCTGATACTCATCCTCACATATAGTTGTTGGTAGAATTGGTTTTGTAAATTAATACAGCAATAACATGTGTCATATTTTTTGCTGTAATTTTTTTGTGCTGTAATGCTGTAATGCTACAATGCTATAATGCCATAATGCTGTAATGTTATAATGCTATAATATCATAATAATGTAATACCATAATGTTATAGTGTTGAAATATTTTAATACAAACTTTAAAATTCTTTCAAGCCTGAAATTATTTTACTATTTAGATATTTTTTTGCTATTATGTATTTGATATTTGTAAATAATACACAAATTGCATGTTACAGTTGTGTTGTATATAAAACAGATGGCTAAAGATAATATATTTATCATTATGCTTATGCATTGCCCAAGTAAAAAAAAAACTAAGTGGTATTGCATAACTTAGCAATAAGCAATATAAAAATTTAAATAATTATCATAAACAAATTATTGTAAGATAGTTAAGTACAAGCTATTATAATAAGTCTAAAATTTATAATATTTATATGATGTTTAATAGCATAATCATTTATTTTCTTAGTTGAAATTAAGCTGAATAGAGATTTTTAAAAATAAAGTAGCTTTATGATGCAATCATGTTAGAAACTAAATGAAAGCAAATATAGTATTTTTATTTTTAGCAGATTTTGATAGATAGAAATTTTATATTATCAAAAACCATTCTACGTAGTAACATTTTTTATGTTATTTTTAATAGTAAACTATCAAGATTGAACTGATTTATGTTAGGACTAGATTGATCTATATTTAATATTGTTATAAGTGAATTGTTGACATATTTTATTAAATCCGATTAATCCAGATAGTCATATTATAAACAGTTCAAAAATTTAGATAAAAATTTAAACATCATACTAGGTACAACCTGTCACTTTGCTGACAGTTTAAAGTTATTAAATAAATAAATCTATAAAATTATTATATTAATGCAAGTAACATATAGCATTAAGAAAAATTAATAATTTGATATCACTTATCTCATTCAATCTTTGATTCAAGGTTGTCACATAACTTTGTGAAGATAAATGTTCATAAAGTCATAGGATAATGTTGATTCTCAGATTGAAGGACAGAGATGATGTATTATATCATTCAATATATATATAGCATTTAGAATCAGTATTTACTTAAAGTATTTATTTAAATAAAAAACTAAATTATGAATGTCTAAGTAAATGCTATACATATATTGAATAATATAATGTCACCCTTGCCTTTCGGTCTGCGAAGCCATGTGACAATGTGGTCAGATTTTCATAGTTGATGTTACACGAATATCCTAATATCTTCATAGCAAATAAGTAACACAATTTAAAAAATTGTTTATATAGGACAGTCCAATTAGTTTAATAATATGAAGAATTTTAATATATATATATGTTTATTAAAAAAACCTTTGCTAAAAAATAACAGATTAAATATATTAATAAAAATACTTGAACTACATGACTATCTATTGCAGGCAATGACTTTGTTAATTAGAAATGATGTGAATTATAATCCAACACATTTAAATTTATACAAATTCAATCTTTAATTAGGATATTACAGCATTACGACATTGTGACATTACAGCACAAAAGTTTTATAGCAATTAGATGTAATGCTATAATTAATTCTACCATGTAGTAAAATGCCGTAATTCAGTAATTCTACTAACAACTATATCCTCACATTCTTGAAGTTCTTATCATGCCAGAAGTAAGTAATATTTAACCTCCTATTCTGTAATTTAGCAAAAGGCCAGTACAGATCAGATACCACAGAATCTTCCCTAAAAAATGTACAATCCAAATTTCCTGAAAATGAAGCTAGTTGGCATATGTTATTGCTCAATTAAAATGGGTTATAAGTGTAGGGACAGATCCTGTTGCCTGTAATTCAAGAATTACCTTAGGATAGGAGTTATCTGGTTTTTTTATCATCAGATCGCAATAAAAATGGTGCCAATCTCCATTATTACCAATTCCTTCTAAATGCTACTGAGTAGTTATTTCGAATCTATGCACCTTTGCAAGCCAATTATGCAGGATTCTATACATCTCTGCATCGTAAACACACTCTCTTGGAACACTTTCATTACACTTGGAATCCACTTGCAGATGGTTTGAATATTTATAGAAGCAGGTGGAGCCCAAGGCAATCATCTTTTGGTCAAATGTACGAATGGTGGATTTTAATACTTCTAGAGTATTTACGAACCCATTGGCTTGCAAAGCCACATCTACACTTAGACAGAAGCAATTTATATCTGGGCCACATTGCTTCTTTGCAAGAGCATCTATTATACCTGATTCTCTTTGCCTCTTTTCCAATGATGATACTGACATTAATGGTGATAGTGATAATGCTCATGATGAAGCTGGTGATAAAGCTGGTGATGATGTTGGTGCCAATGTCTTTTTTTCTCTGTTAGCTTTTCACCATAAGCTATTTGCTTTCTCAACATCAGTCTATATAAAAGCAAAACTAGATAAGAAATGAAATATTATTTTCCAGTAAGCATAGTCAAATAAATAATAAAATTAGATGGTGAGTGCAGGAATATATCAATAGATAAATTTTTACTAATAAATCCTCTTCTAGATTCAACAGATTTTTACTAAAACTTATATTGATAAAATTCATTATGCTCACTAGAATGCATCCAGTAAATGCATCCATTTTAGTACTTGCATGATTTCTACTAGAGCGTATCCAATAGGTACAAAGCACTTGACTATAAAGCCCCATCAAAACTAATTATTCGAAAGATAAGCTTACCTTTCTATTTTTTATAAGATTCTGAGCAATCTTCCGAATATCTTCCGATATATGTAAGTTTTTTACCAATACTTTCTAGTGTAATAAAAAACACTTGGTACATTCTATCCTTTTTAGCAAACTTATAATTATCAAGTATAATGGAAACGTAGTGACAGAGAGACCAATTTTCATATGTGCAAAGCTCGAAATAATTGGCATATGAGATATCATTGCATGTGGTCAATTTTCCTCAAACATTGATAGTAAAGGTGGTAGACATGATAAAAATGTATTAAAAGTCTGGTATACAAAAAAAATATGGCAATTACAGTAAAAAATATACATGTTGAACTTATCCTATAGGTCTTTTTATATTCCACAACTATGAAATTAAGGCAAATGGAAGGAGACACATTAAAGTAACTTAGCAAAAAGACACGAATATCTGAGTTCTATAGTGCAAATTGGTATAATGCTATTTTAGTGTGAACAGCTCTTCAGAATACAGTCCAGGAATATACCAAAAATGGATATTGATGATTGCACCTTTTATGGTATAAAGATGTTGATCAGAAGATTCTAGATTTTATAACACATGACATTAACCAATCAAATTGATCAAAAAAATTTCATATACGAAATAACTTATTATAGTATTAGCGTTAGCAAAGCTATAAGCAAAGCTTTACTTATTAAATATTCTAAATGGTAACTATATCTTATTTAATTACTACAACCATTACTGATTATTTAATACAAATATTTAGTCTATACAATTAAACAATACAGCAATATTA